GTGTGTATGAATCGTAGATACGTATCGTATGTATGTGTCGTATGTATGAATCATACCCACGGTCTGATATCCTACGGACAACAGTACTAGTAGTAGTAATATTAGTAGTATAGTAGTACTAGTAGTACTACTATTAGTACTACCACTAGTACCACCAGTACTACAAAACAAATTAGATTAGTACTAGTAGTACCAGTAGTAGTGGGAGGAGGTACACCACCAGTTCTGTTCCAACAAAGGGACACATATCATCATCTCATATCCTCCTCTGTTTCAACAAAATGCTTCAAACATTCTACAAATTTGATTCAGAATCACACCTGATTGTGCAATTCCCTACTAGTAGTACTAGGCACTCTATTACTACTACAAGTATTCTATCAATTGATCCCCGTACTAGTAGTAGTACTACTAGTAGCTAGTAGTACAAAAAGAAGTTGCATCATCCATAGATGAGAGCAGGCATTTGCAGACCACCATCCCTGGTACCACTAGTACTAGTACAGAAAAAGATGGTAGTACTTGCAGTGCTGGTAGTGAATATTGTCTGTTGAAAATGACAAAGAACCGTCACAAGACAATATTTAGCGTGGTGAATTTTCATGCTCTCAATTTTGGGGTCATTCTTTGTGAAAAGCTTTCCAAAATTGGAAAGAATTCGCTGTGGTGGGGTTTTCCGCAGTTGGAAGGATTGTGCTGTGGCCAACAACCAGCAGCTAGCAGAAGGCTAAGACTTCATTTTGCAGGGCACAAAAGCTACTAGATTCAAGGGCACTCATTCTTCCGGTATGAGCCTCTATTGGTAGTAGTAAGACGAGATGCCACACTGCCACCACCAGGGCTGCGGCACTGGCACTGCTATTTTACAGCACATGCATGGTCTACCAAAGGGGGGTTTGGGCAGTGTTTTCAATACTAGTACGGTATGAGAAAATGCATTCAGATGGCACAGGGACTACAGGAACAAACGGTTCAAAAGAATGGTTCGAGACTGGCAATTCTCTTTTTTGGCCCAGAATATTGCTCAGATCATTTTTTGGTGCGATAAGTGTCAAAGAGGACTTGTGCCTTATTGTTATCGTGCGAATCCGTTTCTTGCCACCATGGATGGAGTGGATAAAACCGAAACGCAGATGGACCGATCGGAGAGCGAAATCTCGGAAGTACGCATGCGGCGAGGGGAATCCACGGCGTGGCGGATTTTTTGACAGCCGAATGGCAGGCGATACAGATCCCACAACCGCGAGAGACACACGGTCGAGGCGACGGTCGGCGCCGTTTGGATTCTTGCGGTCGTCGTCGTTGTCGTCGTGCGGCATCCCGCTCCGGTCGATCGATCGGTTGGCGTCCGGCCCCCCAAAGACCCACGGCCCGCGGCGTCGCATCGCGTCGCTTCCCGCCCGCGTTTCCCGCTCCCGCTCACAGGAGCTTCAGGTGGGAGGTGAGGCCCTCAAAGACGCGGGCCGGCCCCAGGATCCCCAGGACCGTCCTGGACCCCGCGGCGATCTGCGTCCGGCCGGCGTCCTCGACCAGGTACAGCGGGAGGCCACGGCCGGCCGCCGCCTCGCAGATCCCCCTCATCTCCTCCTCGGTCGGGCACTTGACGGCGATCTTGGCGCAGCCCGTGAGCTCCCAGGCCCGGAGGCCGGCCGGGCAGAGCCTCGCCGCCCTCTTGTAGCAGCCGACCGAGGCGTGGCCGCACTGGGCGGCGATCTTTCCCTTTCCCATTCCCAGCTCGTGGTTGACGACCAGGACCATCTTGTAGGGCGCGTCGGCTATGCCCCACTCGCCCGCCGCGCTCGAACCGCCGCGGGCGCCGTCGTCGTGCTCGTACTCGCTGTCGTCGTCGCTGTCGTCGTACTCGGTTTCCTCCCTTGCGGCCTTCCCGGGGGACGTGTGCTTGTAGGCAAAGTACGCAATGGTCGGCAGGATGTTTCCCAGGAGGAAATACAACCACGGGGAGCTGGCTTGCTGGGTTGCAGACATGCTGTAGTCAAAGTTGGTGTGGAGTTTGGATGGAATCGGCCGGTTGGGTGCGGCGATGGAGGGTTTCGGTCGTTGGATCTGTTCGATCGGGTTTGGGCGGCAGAGGTTTCTGTTTCATTCATTCGAGGAGGTGCTCGTTTGTAATGGTACGAGTACGTAGTGCCCGTGCGTACTACAGTAGTCGAGACATCATTTTTGTACGGTTTAATTACGAAGTTCGGTGGAAAACAGTGGTATCAGTTTGCAACAGGTTATGGATACAGAAAACGCTGATTTTACGCTCAACTACTAATAGTAGTACTAGTGCTGTTACTAATGGCTAGTAGTAGTCTATTAGTAGCAGTAGTTGCAGTAGTACTTTGTACAAGTTCTAGCTCTGCCAACTTTCCCTGAAGGTCAGCAAGCATCTCATACTAGTACTACTATCATTAGTAGTACAACTTTACTACTACTAGTAGTAGTAGTACTGAGAACAGCAAACAACAAAAAGGGATCCAGCAGAAGCAACACCAAGAAAGAAGACACCAATCTGTTCAGATGGATTCTTGCTGGTGGTGGTAGTGGTGGTGCTGCTGCTCCTACTGGTGGTGATGGTGGCCAGCCAATGTGATGGAGAAGAAGATTGGTGGTGCTGGTTTCTTAGAAGATTCAGTACAAGAACCAGCAGCAGTAGCAACAATACTACTACTACTAGTACTACTAGTACTAGTAGTAATAATGAAAATATGATGGAACAAGAATGCAAAGAAGGACAAGAACAAGAAGTAGTAGTACAAACACAAATTTGACAATGACAATAACTTGACAATGACAACAACATTATCATGCCACATCCACATGGTACGTACTAGTAGTAGTACTAGTTGGCTACGGTGCACTGCACTGCACTTCACTATCTTTAGTACGCGGTAGCCAGTAACTTTGAAGAATTTTTACAGTCCTCCCCCTGTACTTATCGAGGAAACAAAAAGAAACTTTTTTTAGTGTGGATTTGTACAAACCCCGGTATATTAATTTTTGCAAATAACAACAAATTAGTACCTTGACCAAAATCAATTATTCATTTTTAACTTCAACATTAAGTCATTATTGTGACAACAAGTCATTCTAGTGATAACCGAGTTTTTGCACTGTAGTAAGTTTTTTTGGCCGCCACCCTTCCAAAAAAAAAAAAACAGCGGCGGCCGCAACCAATACTACAGTAGTAGTTTTGCTTCAGTATTAATTTACGGTCACAGCGTAGTAATCATACGTACGAGCAGCAATCCCAGCTAGAAAACGGGACTGAACGAGTACGCGCCTTTTTTTTAATGCACAACTGTTGTCAACGACGAGAACGGCATGGAAAAAAGTGCATCCGGCTGGGCTGGGCTGGGCTCGACACGGCAGTACTGTACGGCATTGTGCTTGCTGTCGGCAGTGTTGCTCGTTCTTGTAGCGCCATCCGCACCGCACCGCTTCGTGCCTCCCCACACCCACTGCCGCAGCAACCATGAGCCACTCCTCGTCGTCGCCGACCCTGGACCTGTTGGCATCGGCCTTTGGCCCCGGCACCACGCTGTACGGGGCCCTCGGCTCTTCAAGGGACGCCTCCGCCGCCGACCTGAAGAAGAGCTACCGTGCCCTGGCGCTCTTGTACCACCCCGACAAGCAGCAAACGCGGCGGCAAACGCAAAATCAATCGCAAACGAAGCGGCAGCAAGCGACGCAGGGGGAGCCCTGCGAGGGAGGGGTCTCGCTCGAGCAAGCCACCCTCCGGTTCCAGGCCGTCTCGGCGGCCTACGAGGTGCTGATGGACCCGGAGCGGAGGGCGGAATACGACGCCACCGGGACCGTAGCGGGAGAGACTTTCAGCAGCGACAGCGGCAACGGTGCCGGGGCCCCCCGCCACCACCGCTCTTCCCGCGACCGGCAGCAGCGGCGCTGGGACGGCTTCTTCCGGTCCGTCTTTTCCGAGCTGGCCACGGCCGGGGACAAGCACGGGGACGGGGAGTCCTACAGGGGCTCGGAAGAGGAAGCCAGGGACGTCCTGTCCTTTTACGTTCTCTGCAAGGGGGACCTGGCCCGGGTCCTCGAGTGCGTCGTCCACGGGGAGAAAGGGGACCTCCCCCGGTGGAAGGAGGAGATCGTCGGACCGGCCGTCGCCAGGGGGGAGGTTCCCGACTACGGCGCCGCCGCCGGGGGCAGGAACCAAACGAAAAACAAAAGGGCAAACCGAACGGGTCCTGGCAGCGGCGGTGCCGCATCCGGGCCTGCCAAACCTGCCCGGCGTCGCTTCTCCAAACCGAAACGGAAAACGATCGCATCGAGGTGCCTGGAAGACTCCTCGGACGAGGACGACGACGGCGGCGGCCGGAGATTCCGATCCCGCAAAACACCCACCGCCGTTTCTACCGGGCTCTGCGACACGGAGGACGAGGAGGAGGACGAAGACGGCACCGAAACGGCGGGCGCTGCCCCGCCAACGCGAACCCCGCCGCCCATGAACAAGCGGGACAAGATGGAGTACCGGGTGGCCAAGAAACGAAAGCTCAAGGCGCTCCGGGAAATGGAGGTCTCGAGGGCCCTTCGGTCAAAGTCCTGGGGAGGCGGTGTCGCTGCTGCTGCCGCCGCTGCGGGACGCGGCAAGCGGCGATCGGCCCCGGTGGTTGCCGAGGCCGTTCTGGCCCGGATGGAGGGCCGGTACGCCCCTGGGGGAGCTTCGTCCGGGAAGCGGAGCCACTCCAAATCCAAGAAACCCCTGCGCCGCAACAAGAAATAGCAACGCGCCGGGACCCAAACCGTGATCATTGCGGTCTCTGCTTCGGTCCTCCACTCTTTCGTCGGGTTCGATGCCCGGTCGAATTTGGTCTGGTTTGGCTTCGCTTCGCTATGGTAGACACGATAGAACAATAATCATACAGGGGTTCCTATTTTAGATTTGGATTTGGTATTTTCTTCGTCCCGTGCGGCAAAACGAGACCAACGGCCCTCCGTTTTGTTTTGGTTTCTTCTATTCGTACTTGTCGCCGTATTCGTCCGCGACGTCGTCGTCCTCCTCCTCGAGGTCCTCGTCCCCGAAGCCGTCCTTGTAGGAGCTCCTCCCGTTCAGCTCGATCTCGGGTGCCCGGTGGTAGGCGGCCCTGGCAGGCGGCCCGCGCGGGCAGCAGCGACGGTACAGGCAACCGCACACGGCACACACGGCCAGCAGGAGGCCCAGCGCCAGCAGGGCGGTCTGGGGGCCTTCCGGGCCCTCCGCAATGTAGGCGGTGGAGCTCTTCGAGGCGTCGGCCGGGCGGAGCGAGGGGGCCGTTGGTTCTTCGGGGGTGTCCCCGGCGGGGCCGTCGTTTCCCTGTTCGTCGTCGTTGTTGTGTTGTTCGTGTTGTTGATGTTCCGCTCCCGCCGCCACTGCCACTGCCTCTTCCTCCTGGATCTCGGCCTCCACGTGGTCCACGTCGAAGGCCTCCTTGGCTTCGACCTGATCCTCTTCCTCCTCCTCCTCGGTTGCGATGGCTTCCTTGGTTTCGGCGGTCTGGAGCTCGTCCCCCAGGACGTCCGGGAATCCGTGTTTGGTGGCCAGCTCGTGGTAGTCGCAGGAACTCTCGGCCCAGCCGATGCGGTTCTGGGTGGGATCGAACTGAACCAACCGTTTGGTTGGGCCGGGGACAACGGGGAGCGGCGGGGAGCGACACAAACGCCGTTTTGAACGAGAGAGAGAAAGACAGAGAGAGAGAGGGAAAAAGAAACGGTTAGTAGGGTTCGTTTCATTGGAAGCAAACAAGACGACAAATCCGATCCGATCCGATCCACGGCCAGGCAATCAGCAGGTAGTCTGCACGGTTCGGAAAGGGTACGCAGAGGCAGCAGAGCCGCATCGCACAAACCAAACCAAACCAGGCAAACCCGAACCTACCAGGATGTCGTGGCCCATCATCGTGTTGGCCCCCAGGACGGACCCATCGGGATATTTTTCCGTGGCATAGATGCGGTTCTGGTACCGTCCGGTGGACAGGTGCTCCATGTAGTGGGACGGGGGGACGGCCACGATCACGTCCAGGGGGTGTTCGGGATCGAGGTCCCCCGCGAGGCCGGGAACCCCTGCCGGCCCTCCGTGCTCCTCGGCCACGGCTCGGTTGAGGGCCTCGTCGCCGGCCATCTGGATCAGGAGGGTCGGGAGGGCCGCGAGCTCCTCCCCGGTCAGCGAAACCTTGTCGTGGTGAAAGCTGGAAGCCCCCCCCGTTAGCGTCTTGTAGTTCTCTCGGAGGGACATCTGGATGGCCGAGCTAAAGTACGAGTCGGTCGTCCCGCTGTCGACAATGACGCCGCCGAGCTCGTTGATGAGCTCGGCGCCGCTCAGCTCCAGGACGATGGCCGAGGGGTCCGCCGTCGCGGCCGATTCGCCGCCGCTCCCGGCCCTCAGGTACATCTTGCGCACGTGGACGTCAAAGTAGCCGCTCTTTTTCCTCCGGGGCAGCATGCTGGGGGTCCCCCTCGTCGTGGTGTAGACCATCGGGTGGTGGTGCAGGCGCTCGTCGGTCCCCCCCAGCGTCATGGCCCCCGCCAGGGTCCCCTCCCTGGAGGAGTGGGGGGGCCGCGAAAAACACAGGGAAAACTGCTTGGAGTGGATCTTTCCGGCCCGGTACATCTGGTGCCAAAAGGCGTTTTTTCCGTCGCACATGCCCATGATCCCGTCGGCCAGCTGCGTCTTGAAGAGGCCGGTGACCATCGTCTGGCAGCCAAACCGCAGCGGAAATCCCAGGGCCGCCGCGTGGCTGGGGTCCAGGTCGTCGGAGGTCCCGCCTTGTTCCTAGCAGCGGAAAATCGACCAAACCCGCCAAACGAAAAACCCACACAGGAAACCATAAAAACAAGGGCCGCAGGACCCGCGTGAGCACAGACAAAGGCAGGGCGAGACGGAAACGGGCCAACCAAGTCACGCACGACAACACCACACAATAGACCACAAGACAAACACCACGCGGCGAACCCACCTCCAGCAGGGCCTTCCCGTGAAAGCCCCCGGCGTAGACCGTGTCGTTTGCCTCGTAGGCCTCCCAGGCGGATCCCTCCGTGTAGTACTGTTCGATCTCGCACCGGTCCTTCTGGGTGTTGCAGGTGGCCTTGCGGGTGCAGTCGTCGCAGACCGCCTTCTCGAAGGTGGACGACAAGGCCTCCTCGAAGTAGGCGCTCAGGTGGTGCTGCGGGAAGCCGCAGTCCTTGCAGCCGCCGCAGGGAAAGGCCGTCTGGGCGCTCCCGGTGTCCACGATGACCGTCTGGCGCTGCGGGGGAGTCCCGACCCACAGGTCGGCGTAGTGGGTCCCGTAGCCCATGTACAGGACGCCCATCTGCTCGGGGTCTTTGGTCACCCCCTTGGCGTTCGCGTCTTCCGCCACCCTCCGGCGACGGCGCCGCTCGCCGGCGGGGGGCTCCTCCCCGGACAGGCCCCGCCGGGCGGCCTGGACGTGGTGGGGAACCAGTGGGAACGTCACGGAGCCCCCGGGGCCGCCGGACAGGACCCGGCCGGGGTAGGGGGGGGACCCCCCGCCCGCCGCCGCCGAAGCGTGGCGCCCGAGGACCGCCAGCAACACCGCCGAGAGCAGCGGTGTCGCCATGGCCGTTTTCGGTGCTGCGTTTGGTTTTGCGTTCGTTCGCGTTCTCGTCTTCGTTTTCGTTGCCATAGCTAATGTCACCGACACCGCCACAGTCATTGGCCACTCCCGGCTTGTTGTTCTTTGGAGAGAGGTAGGTTGCAATGGATTGTTGGTTGGTGATCTGGGCGATCGATGATTCATTCCACGCCGAAGATTCACTGTATTAGAGGATTGGTGTTGCCAAGTTTCTTCGGGTAGGATTTGGAACCTTTCGTCACGTTAAGGTCCAACCGAGAAGCTTGTCACAGGGATTCACAGTGGCGAAACTACGAAAATACGCCTATCCGGTTGGTTTTGGTTTTCGCGTCTCATTCCCGTACCGAAAACTAGTACGGTGCCGTATTTTACGTACCGTTCGTAACTTGGTTGTTTTTGGCTGAAACTCATTAGGATGAGGACGAGGACGATGTTGTTGACTTTGGAATCATACCGTACCGTGTAACGTTCGCCGTTCCACTATTGCCTACCGTACAGTATTCTACGGTACGTCAGTAGGTATCGTACGTACGTACCTTATACTTAGCCTTGTGTTTTTCTATTGCTTTATGTTACAGAACAACGTTATTCTCTAGCATGATGTACATGTACTACAAGTACGTACGTTTACTTCTTTACGGCACTGTACGCCACGACCCTTCCGATTGTGGGCGTAATGCTATTTGTACATACTTTTACTTATTGATAGCATGTGCGGTGCAAAGGGGGGATAGTACAATAGCAATAGCAACTGTACATTACAGTACAAACCATGGCGAACCGGTGCGTTTTTGTATGAGTTACTGGTACAACTCATTCATGTTTCGGTACCGGACGGACCCTAACCTTCCCCTAGTAATAGTACGAGTATCTCAGTGCGTACGATACTGTACGGTACGATACTGTGAGCACTGGTAGCTCGGCTTCTCAGGCGAACCGGGGAGAAAAGACTCCCGAAAGCAAGAGCTATCGTGTACTATCGGTACTACCGGTGCTACATTTATTATTTCTATTTCTATTCAGACATAGACACGAGTACATTCGTGTTCATCCTTGTGTGAATGTCCAACACCACCATCGTCTTTGTCTTCCCCACCGATTTCTCCACCAGAAACCCACGAAAGAACCCAGACCCGATCGATCGAATCATAGCCTGCTCCTTCGATTGAACGAAGCAACACCACAAAGAGCAGATAAGAAACGGCCTGCGAATCGATTCGAAGCACCTACTCCGTACGCTACACCAGTCGACACGACACGAAACGACACGACACGATACCATGGGCACGGGCGCAGCAAAAAAAACGAGCCACTCGTGGCACCGGTGGACGATGCTAGCGACCGCCCTGTTGCTCCAAGGTTCTGCCACGGCGAAGGGGGTGGTCCAGCTCAAGCTGAACCCCCGCCACGTCGAACTGGAACGGCGGCGGCAGCGGGAGCGAAACCTCCATCCGGTAGCGACCGCCATTGAAGAAGAAGATGAAGGACAACGGCACAACGAAGAACAGTATCGCCGCCGCGGGAAAGCCCAGCAGGTCGGGGCCCTGTACGAGGTGAGCAGCTTGGTTGTTTGGCACGCTGTAGCAAGGATTGTCGGAGGGCACCTGTGTTTTTTGTTGTTGTTGCTGCTGCTGCTGCGTGTTTGCGACTGCTTGTTTAGGTCCCAAACCATTGCATGACATTGTTTTCTAAACCGATTGGTTCTCTCTCGGCACGCGGTTCGATGTCTTTGATTGGAACGCTGTTCATTGGAATGATATTCATTGGAATGCAATTCATTGCAATGCAATGCAATCCAATCCAAATCCGACGCAATCCGCCACGATGCAATGCGTCAATGCATCACGCAACGCCGCGATCTGCCGATGGATCGCGCGCAGGGCTACGGGACCCACTACATCGATCTCTGGGTCGGGACGCCCCCGCAGCGCCAGACGGTCATCGTCGATACGGGCAGCGGGATCACGGCCTTTCCCTGCGGGGCCTGCAGCGATTGCGGTGCCCCGAAATACCACGTCGACGCCTTGTTTGTCGAGAAGGACTCGTCCTCCTTTGCGAAATCCACCTGCGCCAGCAAAAGCGACTGCATCATGAGCCGGAGCTCCTGCAGCGGCGACAAGTGCCTGGTCAGCATGGCCTACGCCGAGGGGAGCCGGTGGAACGCCTACGAGGCGGTCGACAGGTGCTACGTTGCGGGGCCCCACGAGACGCCACTGGTGGCCCCCGAGGGGGCGTCCCTGGAGGGAGACGACATGAATCCGAGGCACGCCGCCGATCTGGCCTTTGACATGACCTTTGGGTGCCAGACGCTCGTGACGGGCCTCTTCAAAACCCAGCTGGCCGACGGCATCATGGGCATGTCCAACCAGGCATCGACCTACTGGAGCCAGATGTTCGAGGCCCAGAAGATGGGACCCGACCGGCAGTTCGCGCTGTGCTTTTCGCGCCCCGTCCACATCGCGAGGGAGGGAACCGAGGCCGGGGCCATGACGCTGGGAGGCGTCGACACGCGGCTCCACCGGACGCCCATGGTGTACACGCCCAACTTCAACACCGGACGGGCGACCTTTTTCAGCACCAGGATCCGGCGGATGATGCTGCGAGACGGAAAGTACGGGACGAGTGTCCAGAGCACCGCCGACAATCCCAACCTGGGGTTGACCGTTCTGGACATCGACCCGTCCATCCTCAACAAGGGCGGAACCATTGTCGACAGCGGAACGACGGACACCTATTTCAACTCGGCCATTGGGGGAGAATTCAAGCGGGTCTTTCGAAAAATTACGGGAAGAGAGCACACCAACAGCGGGCTCGACCTGACCGAGGAAGAAGTGTTGGCGTTGCCGACCATTCTCATTCAGCTCATCAGCAACGACGAGACGAACGGCCACGTGGACGACATGTTCCACACGCCGGGCCTGGCGGGTGCCATGGACAAACCGAACAAGTCGGACGTAATCCTGGCCATTCCTCCCACCCACTACATGGAGTACGACGAGAAATCCAAAAAATACACCTCGCGGTTTTACACCACCGAACGATCCGGAAACGTCCTGGGAGCCAATGCCATGATGGGACACGACATCTTTTTCGACGTCGACACCAAGCGGATCGGCTGGGCGGAGAGCGACTGCGACTACACCGCCAAGGTCCGCGAGAACGGCTACGACTTTGACATCACCGGCGAGCTGAAAAAGGCCGAGGCCGCGGGAACCGCCGCCAAGGAATCCAAAGAATGCTCTTCGATCTCGAGCGGGGCAAAATGCCAAAAGGTCGAGGGCTGCACCTGGGGCTGGGGCAAGTGCAGCAAGGTCGGCGATGCCCCTCCGAAAGAAACACCGGAGGAACCCAAAGAAACACCAGCAGAAACCAAAGAAACACCAGCGGAACCAAAGCCAACACCAGCGCCATTAACACCAGATTACATGGTGCAAGAAATTCCCCCACTTCGCACCTGGGTGGAAGATCATTTGGTCGCAATCGGATCGTTTGTCGTCTTGTCTCTCCTCTTGTGTTGCATTTATTGCTTGTTTTGCCGCAGTGAGAGTAGCCGTGGAAGATACGAAAAGGCGTCGCTCGAACCGGTATCGATCGAAATGAGGAATGGCAACGGAATGAGGAAGATTCAGTCCTTCCAGGATGAACCTGATGACGATGACTCCCACGTCGAAAATGGCAATGGCTCCAAATTCCGAGACGAACCGGAATTCGAGGGAGATTTCATGTAAGCCAAAGTCACGGAATCGATACGTCCATTCGCTTGCTCCTCCCATATCGGGAATGATCATGACCCACAACATATCATGCGATACAAACAGCACAGCACAGCACAACATAGCACCAATCTAGAACAAACCCATGAAGTAAACAAAACATTATTTGTATAAATTGTTGTTTCGAAAAGGTCTCTGCCCTTCTATTACTAGCTTTTATCATCGAACTTTGTGTCAAACTACGAGAATCCGAAGGATATTTTTGCAATAGATTATTTAAGCATTTGACGCAACCGCAAAGACATCATCTTCGATTTCAATTGGATTGCCTTCATGTCGCACTGCCGGGGGAATATCGGCCGAAGGTTCACGATTTTCTTCCAAATGGGCCAAGAATCGTGCCAGCTGCGTGGGCATCCACGAAGTACTCGGCCTCTCTTCGTTTGCGTCCAATTGGTGGAAGATGAATCCGCAATGGCCTCCTTCGTCGGTGTACTGGATTCTTAGAGGTGTGTTCGGATCATTGGCCGGCAACTCTAATCCTGCAAAAAAAGGATCATCTCGGGCCTGGACGACCAACTCTGGAACACACACATTGTGAAGCTTGTCGATTGTCTTCACTTTGTCGTAGTAGTCCATGGCGTCGTCAAAACCAAAGATAGGGGCAATCAAAAGATTTTCTAAGTCCATGATCGTTTTGCATTTGTCAATCTCAGAGCGCTCAAACGGAAAAATCCCGGGACAGGCGTCGAATTGTTGCTTCGAACGCCGTTGCATCGATGCCAGCAAACGGTCTCCGTATATGGTCTTCGTGAATCCAGCTTCGTTCAAATTGGTGTGGTACTGCCTAGTATCAAACGGAACTGCATTCACTGCAGCACCGCAGATGTTGTACCGATAGGCATCCTCTCCCAGGTCTGCCAAAAGCTTCGTGACAACTCCGGCTCCGAGTGAAAATCCGCTGAGATAAATGCGCTTGGTGGGATGCTTCGAGTTGATCTCATTGATTTGATGCATCAGGTCGTCCGTAAAGCCCAAGTGGTAAGCTCTTGCAGTCAAACTGCATTCTTCACCACCATCGGCGCAACCTCGGAAATTGATGCAAGCTGCGTCGATGTTCTTCTCGTTACAAGCTATTGCCAATTCCCTAGCAATTTCAGAGTCGGAGCAACTTTCCAATCCATGGCATATCAAACAGATTGGATTTTCGTCGTTTTTACCGCTGATTTCCTCATCGGGGACATCGGCATCCCTCCAATCCACGACAAACAAATCGCCATCATTCGTTTCCACTCGGGTTCGTCTGTCCCATTGGAATTCATCGAGCTTCTGGCTCACAGACAAATCGTCCGAGGTAGCCTCTCCATCAAAGCCGGCCAATCTTAGCAAAGTGCTCATATCTTGATCACCTCGACTGTACATGGTTTCTTTTCGAAAGAGTGTCCCGATGATCGTTTGAAAATGATCGTTCTTGGACCACCATGCAGGCTTGAATTCGCTTTGCACAAACGAATGCGACACTTTTGCTTCCCTCGCATATCGTTCCTGACTGGTCGTTGGGAGGGACGAAACCCAACCCTTCACGCTGCAGTTTGGTTCATCTTCAGAATCATTGTCGACCTTGCAATCGGTGTTCACACAGTCGATTACACCTGTGGAAACCGAATCTGGAATTCGTTCGCTGGTGGGGTCTTTTTGGTTTTTTAATTTGACACTATCACCCTTTTCGGTATCCTCTATTTGTGTCGTTGAAAGCCTTTTGTGATACAGCTTTTTCGATTTCCGATCTTCAGATACAACAGAAGGAGGGCTGGCCTCTCCCGCAGCTTTCAATCGGGAAGGTTGATTTTCGTTCGCTTTCTCTTCCTTCTTCGCTTTATTCAGCAAATCCTGCTCAAGTCGTTCTCGCAAAAGGCTTCTGTGGAACAATTCTTCGCTTATTTTCGTTTCGACCAAACCAAAAGGAACTTCTTTCAATCCCGTTGTCTTTGGTTCGGCGTTCGACACAATCCTCTCTTCGGCCTGAATCATCTTTGAGCGTGCATCGATCTCAAGTCTTGCTTTCAAGAGCCTCCTCTGAAAGATTTCACTAGACATCTGTCTTGACATTTTTTGGGATTGTAACTCAAGCTTCAATTTTGTTTTCAACAGACTCCTGTGCAATTGCTCCTTGCTTCTTTCTCTTTGAATTCTTTCGGCCCGTGCATCAATGTCCAATTTTGCCCTTAAAAGCTGTCTTCGAAAGGATTGCTCCGATGTGTGCAATACAGCTTCTATCAAAGTATCTACAGATCCCTCTGCTTTTACTTGCTGTGGCGCCGTGATATGCTCTTTGCTTTCTTCCATTATTCTGCTTTGTGTCTTGTGCTCCAACTCGAGCCTCTTTTGCAAAAGTTTTCTACGAAACAATTCTTGCGATTTTTGTTCTTCTTGTAAGTTAAGTAGGTGATCTTGGACATCGTTCTGCGTATCATCGAATGTGTTAGTGGAAGTTGTAGCTGCAGGATACTTTTCGATTCCAATCACTTTGCTTTGTATTTGGGCTACATCGCTATTTTTTTGGTTCATCAGAACCTCTTCCTCTTCAACGACAGATGTTAGGATGGACTCCAAATCCCATGCTTCATTTGAGTCAAAAATTAAGTCAGATGGTTTTTTATTCCATGTGTATACCGAATTGTCCTTCATATATACAGTAGATTCAGGCACTAATGGAAGATCCTCAACACCAGAGGCCTGTTGTTGTTTTATCTTTTTCTGTTCTGAGATCTCCTTCATCCTTTTAGGGACGGAAGACGGTCGAAGGGGTTCGAGATTCGATTCAATGATTTCGAGTGCTGGAAAATTCCAAACAGCATTTGATGCCGTTGGGGCCGACTCGACGGAATCATTCATCGGAAGACTCGAATTCGTTTCCGTTTCCTCTGATTCAACTCCAATTTGATTTTCAGCATTCTGGGATTCGGTGAGAGATAAGGATGAGGTTGATGGTACCTTTGAATCGCTTTCTTTGGTCATTTCGAGAGCACTGACAAGTCTCTGCATGGCATCGAGATTAATTTTGCTTTCAGAGCCATCTTTATCTTCAACAATGGCTTTGGTCACAACTTTTTCCAAGAGCATTGTACACAAACCAAATGCCATTTTTCTGATCTTTGCAGAAGCACCGAGAGCACCGATCTCCTCCTCGGGAGAGAGCGAGGTTTTTCCAACTTCCGGCGTGGTTTGCGAGGATAAATAATACCGATTCCCGACATTGCGCTGAGAATAACTGGGAACGGGATGTAGATTTGTGTGGGGAGATGACGAAGTTGCTGATGGGTTATACCGCACGACGAATCCTTTGACAAAGCAGAAAGACAAGCCGATGTAGAGCAGCAACGGAAATCTTTCCTGCAGGGCAACCATTTCGTTCACCTGGGGTTATTGTTGTGAGTGTTCCAAAGGCAAGAATTGGCTTTTTCCTTGGCAGAATACCTGTTCCGTCAATCCTCCTCTGGTGCGCAATGCACCACGTTCAACGGCTGGCTACTTTTTTCACTTCGAAATTCGATGGAAACAACAGTCCGAAAGCAATCGAGGAATTTTCAAATCCATGCGTTACTGACTTCGATTCCTTTTGTTTCTGACGAAGGCATTCGACATCAAGCGGTATCAATGCATGCCACCAAATAACAACGATGGCAATCCTGGAAGTTGAAAGGATACGAGTACGGTTACCGTCTGAAGATGATTCACTCACGATTTCGGAATTATTTCTAAGTTTTCTACCATGCTGTACTACGTTCGAGTAGTACGTACGCTACGCTACTCTTAAAAAAATAGCTCTGTAGGATGTTGACATGCTCAGAACCTGACTAACAACTCATGACGACTGCAGCAAAAATTGGTTGTTATCAGAGCATAGGGCATGTTTTAGTTTCAATGTAATTCATGACTCAAATTTCGAAAGGGACTGTTTTGGTATGTACGTCGGTCCACAAGATCAGCCTTCAGCATCATCCATCAGTTGATGTTGATTTTTAACGTAATTTGATTGAGCGAGAGGATCCTTGATTTTTTGACGCCAATACTGCGATAATGATGGAACCTTCGCAAACAGCAATATTTGTGTGGTATCAAGCCATCGGAACAACCTATCACATCATCTAAAGTTTCGTGTCCCTACTGTGAAATTCTATTGGATCAAAGACACAGTTAAAATAGCTAGATCACAGTCCTATCCATCGACTGTTGTAATAGAAGGAGAACTGTATTATAATCTTGTCGTTTTAATTCCAATTTCATCACATCAAGATGGGCAGCAAGAAGAGAAAGAACGATGATGGCAAGGCAGTTGATGTCTCGTCTTCTACGAAATTGATTCCCCCATCCTCCTCCACACCAAAACTAGATACATCCAACTGGCCTCTCTTACTCAAGAATTATCATCAACTACACGTGCGCACCTCACACTACACTCCTCTCCCGTGCGGGTCGAGCCCGCTGGCACGTCCTCTGGACCAACATCTTAGTTATGGTGTCATCAACCTTGACAAGCCTGCGAATCCCTCGTCTCACGAAGTTGTCAGCTGGATCAAAAAGATTCTCCGAGTTGAGAAAACGGGCCATTCCGGAACCCTCGATCCTAAGGTTACCGGATGTCTGATCGTCTGCATCGATCGGGCCACCCGATTGGTCAAGTCGCAGCAATCTGCGGGTAAAGAATACGTCGCCGTTGCTCGATTGCACTCGGCTTGCGACGTGGCCAAGGTCCAGAGGTCCGTTGAAACGTTGACGGGTGCTCTCTTCCAGAGACCTCCACTTATTTCCGCTGTCAAGAGACAACTCCGAATCCGAACCATTTACGAATCGAAATTGATTCAGTACGATGAGGATCGCAACTTGGGTGTCTTGTGGGTGTCTTGTGAAGCAGGAACATACATTCGTACACTTTGCGTTCACTTAGGATTGTTGACGGGAGCTGGGGGACACATGCAGGAGTTGAGAAGAGTGAGGTCAGGTGCCCTTTCCGAAAACGATAACTTGGTGACAATGCACGACGTTCTCGATGCGCAGTACGTGTACGATACTACCAAGGATGAATCCTATTTGAGACGAGTTGTCATGCCGCTAGAAGTTTTGCTAACAAAGTACAAGCGAATTGTCGTGAAGGATTCGGCCGTCAACGCAATTTGCTACGGTGCCAAGTTCATGATCCCAGGGTTGCTAAGATTTGCGGACGGAATTGAATTGAACGACGAAGTAGTCTTGATGACCACCAAGGGTGAAGCGATTGCCGTAGCCATTGCACAAATGACTACTTCGGTTATGGCCACCGTTGATCACGGGGTGGTTGCGAAGATCAAGCGTGTTATTATGGAAAGAGATGGTACGTGCAAACCTCATTCTCTGGGCCGCTCAAGCACCTGCACAAGATAAGATAGACGGTGTCTCGAGAACCTCAACAAGGGTCTGCCTTATCTTGTCTCACCAAAAACATGTTCATGATGCCTTCTTGTTCTTCACTCATTTCTCTCACTATCTACACTGACATGCATGCAACCAATAAACAAAACGTAGTCTATCCTCGTCGATGGGGATTGGGACCCATGGCTCAACGAAAGAAGTCAATGATCAAGGAAGGAAAGCTTGACAAACACGGAAAACCCAACGACAGGACTCCATCAGACTTTTTGACTTCCTACAAGGACTACAGCAAATCCAAACCGCCACAACTCTCTGGCGAAGGATCGACTCCTGCAGCTGCGGGGGTACCATCGTCCCCTAGTGGCGATGTTTCCATGGATGGCGGTGCTGGTAAGCGGGCCAAGGAAAGTGATGGCAATAGCTCAGATGAACAGCCAGCCAAGAAGAAAGAGAAGAAGGAAAAGAAAGAGAAGAAAGAAAAGAAAAAGAAAAAAAAGAAGGAGTAAGAATGAAAAGTAGCACGGCAAACTTGGGCTACACAGTTTCCTATACGTCGAATGGATAATTCAAAACGAGCAAAAACTTTATCTCGCTCTCAAATGATGCAAAAGTCGGCGTCAAATAAATCATAACTTCCCATTGGGAGTGATAATATCATACCTACCTAATATATATCATCTTATTGAACATTGTTACATCATCAGTAAAACGTACCATGTGCTCAAAATTCATGAACATTTTATGTTCGGAGTTAGTGAACGAGATTCGAAAATTATTAAAATGTACTTCTAATACTTATGTTTCCGGTACGACAATCGTATCACAGTGGTTGGCAATCATCTTATACTAGATGTGACACGCCACACGGTCTTATCTCGTCGGTCTCAGCCGACAATCCATAAAAGGCATGAATAGCTCGGAGAAATTGATGTCATTGGTTTCAGAATTTTCATGTAATAATCGAGATAAAAGAAAAATTAACTTGCGGTTTGGACCTTTGGGGTTTGGGTTTGTAATGCATTCGTCTTTGGTTTGCAATCTATTGGATCATCATCTTGGCCCAACCTGTAGGATTTGGTTTTGCTGCTGATTTTCTATAAATACCTTGGTAATCTGCTACCATAGCCTTCTTTTTCTTCTTCAAAGTCGACGACCCATCTCTAAAGGAGTTGTGAGAGCCACCTTCCACGTCTGAGGTGGTTTTGGAAGAACGCTTCGACTTCATCTTCCCCCGTTTTGAAATAAGTTCAGTAGACTTTGAGGGTTTCTTCTTCTTCTTCTTTCTTCTATTGTCTCCGCTTTTTTCGTTTTTCTTTGCTGCCTTTTCATCTTTGATGGCTTCGAGCCAGGATTTCTCGACCGGCCTTTGTTTCTCGAGTTTCTTTAGGAGTAAAATGATTTGCTGCTTTTCTTTCTTGTCTTCAATGATATCTTGATAGGCCTCGTCGCCATCCTTGGTTGCGTCAATTATCAATTGACTCTTGGTGCAGCATTCTTGGCGGTTTATCCTTCCAATTGTATTGGTTTTTGGATCAAAGTAAATGATGAATTCTGCTTCTTCTTCAACGCCTTCGCCTTCCGCGGGTGGGTCGTCCTCGTTCTTTTCTTCCTTGTCTTCGATGCTTTTCTTTTCTTCAGAAAAGCTTGATTGCATTGCATTCGAAGCAGGAGATTGGTCAGATGACGATGTGGTTGAATGCAATGATGATATGAGATCGTTTTTTCGACTTGTGGGATCAGTGGCGCTGCCTTTTTTTGTTTTCTTTTTTCCTTTTCTATTTTGTTTCTCTCTTTTCTTCTTCGACAATGAGGAAGAACATTCATCTTTTTTCTTTTTCTTTTTCGTTTCTTTAGCACCTCCCGAATCGTCTCGGTTTTGGTTTGAAGCATCGGGAAAGTGATGCTGGGCGTCGAATCCTTTTATTTCAAACTTTCCATCGATTTCGTTATCATTGTTGTCAACCATGTAGCCATCTCCTTTACTTGTGCTACATTCAGGTGCTGACAAAGTTTTTGGCTCATCACGTTCCTCGCCACGATCCACAACATCCAAACATCGTTTCATCAAAGTGAACAAACCTAGGTCCTCCATCACTTCGATAAATGATTCCACGGCTTCAATATAGTTTTGGAGAGGCTTTTGGAAGTTCTCGTCGACAATTCTATCAGTATTGGATGGACTGTTCTCGCTATTGATGTCTTCGTCAACACCAAGATTGTTTCGAATTCGATCCAAGGAATGTGTTGTTTCCTTCATTCGATCATATGCGTAGAAGTCATCCTGAAGCAGGACAGCCGCCAGCTCAAACTTGTCATATCCGAAACGTTCCTCGTCAGCGTTTGTCTTGGGCATAAAGTCTTTCACCTTTTGTTCGGTCGTTGCAACTTCTTCGGACAGATTCGTCAGCATTCGCCGGCCTCTTATTGTTATTGTGGTGGCCCCATCGTTTGAATTGGAACTACGAATGTGACCATTCTCGTTTAAAAGAGTCTCGACGAGAGCTAGTTTCTCAGAAAGCTTCTTAAATTGCTTCAAGACTCTACAATAATTATCGCGTGCATTCAAGATACCGTCGGGGTCAAGATCGGTGGTGTAGAACTCCAGAAATGTTTTAGACCAAGCATTGTATGTCTTTTCCGATTGCACTTTGTGGACTTCAGACAAGAGTCCTTTGAGACGATCGTCGTTATCAAGAGGATTGTTAGTGATAGTCATACTTCCTAGATGGGTGTTACGTTTTTGAACGTTGGAAGTATTTTATGTTGTATGATTTCCGTGGCGTTTGCTTAATTTCACCGGTTGCGTTTTGATTTTGTGGAACTGGTCTTACATTGCGTTCCTATTTCCGTTGTTTCTGTACAGGAACGTTCTTTTTAGGTCCCCTTCAACAAAGGCACATTCAAACGTGTGCTTCGTAGACCTTGTGTAGATAATGGTAGTAAAATGACATATTCACGACCAACAAGATCAAAATGACCTCCGCTATAATTTTTAGCGGATCAACGAACCCATGCGGTAGTACGCAGCGTGACCTTAAGATTGGTGAATCAGAGTCATTCTCGTATCATCGTGTTGAAATTATCTATTCTTGAATTTCAGAATGCGAACCAAGAGCATACATTAAGTGTGAACGATCTGTACGTGATTTTGGATGAAATAGCTCAATCCTTCACAAAAGGAACCCCTTACTTTTTCTTCGACGCCACACGTCAAAAAGTTGTCTAGTAAAGCCTATTGAAAAATACTCTAGTGGGATAATGAGAAGACCTACTTCCAAACCACCGGTGACACGCCTGAGGTCACCCTCAAGATCATCAACATACAAGACGAGTTCAAAGCAAAACAATGGCGCTGCTGCCTTGGAGGATGAACGTTTCAAACAATTTCTCAAAAATGCCGACGAGATCGAGTCGATCGAGCATTTTATGTATTGGAAAGACGAGTTCTTTACGACGTTTCGTCCATATCTGGATCCGCTGGGAACGGCGACAGCGAGAGAAGCTGACGAGGAACTCTATTTCGAGTTGGAGAAACTCGCAAATGCGTGCGTCCACACCAATGAACTAGTAAAGGAAGGCAAGATCAGCCCCGAAAAGTCGAGCGTGAAGGGGCAAAAGAGCATAAACGAAATGATAGCCTCTACGTGCACCTGTGAGCAACATATTGACAGATACTTTCCGAAGACACAAGAAGAGGAGCTAACTTGTGGTTACAGCAAGTTTGAATTAGCTGCGGTTCTGGTGAGAGATGGCTTCAGGGTGTATGGAATGATGGTGGCAACTCGGAATTACGTCCAAGGACTTGTGATCGAAGGGGGTGCCCTCCAGAAAATTCTCAAGTCCAATCAAATGTCCATCCTTCAATACTACTTTCGGTGCCTTGACACATTTGCACAAACCATGGCCGACCTAGGCATGTTCAAACTAATGGTGAGATGCGAAGAACTCTACAGCGTGCGACCGCGACGCAAAAAGAACAAGACGAAGAAATTCAACAAACACGGTGCAAAGGATGCTCTAAGCGACACAAGCTGTGAGGGTGAAGCTATTAACGGCGGACGCATGTTTCAGAAATCTAAACTGAATTATCGAGCTATCATGGACAAGGGATGGTCAAATGGATTGTGTTTGGGACAAGAAATCTTAGGACCTTTAAAATTTTCAAAGAAGAATGATAAAAAGAAAAAAAAGGGGGGGAAGAAGAAAAAGAGACTTATCAAAGAAAATAACAAAGATGCCAATTGCAAATCCGGAGAGGACAACGAAGTAGCGAGTAACGACGAGACTAACTTCTCACCAGAAGCTGGATCGTCGTCCTCCATCGAAGACGATTCTGTCGACGAAACCGCCGAAACCGTTGACGAACTAATGTCGATGGCGTCCTCTTCGGAGGACGAAGAAGAAGACGAGGAGGACGTGATATATTACTTTGACCCGGTCCGGAAAATCGTTGGCAAGGTTTCACGAAAAAAATGCTTGGCGGAAATCACGATTGTGAGTGTAGACAGTGAGACTGGTACCGAACGAGCAGAAGGAGTTGTGGAAGAGTGGGATTCTAGGGATGACGAAATTGGGAAACAGGATTTGATACTGAACCTCAAAGAAATCTTGAGGAGCAAGGCATAGAACAATTTAGAGAATAAAACTAGCAATTGCAATTAGCTTTAGACCCCTGTTGAATAAGAAACGTATTTGTTGTATCAAAGTTGACAAATTCAAAGCAACGATAACTTGAAGAGCTCTCGGAGCAATTTTCTTCGATCTAGTTCGAGTCACCCAATAACTGTTGGTGTCACCTTCGGCACTCCAAATCATAGTCGAGTCTTATTGGAAAGTGTCAATCTGGGTTCACTGACTCTTGCATCCTCATTCAGGATATACACAGATGAGAATCAAAGTATCGAAACGATCTACCAGTTCAGTGAATCGATACTCTTGTAGCTAAAGTAATAGATGAGCGACTTTTGAAGACGCCTTTATCAGTCTGGTCGTCCTTCTGTTGCACTGATACCAATCGATAACCTAGCTCAATCACACTAGCTACACTATTGTATCAGAAGAGTAGAGCTACGAGTCAAAAATCCATTTTACGTTCCAGCCCGGCGCATTGCGCGCAACTTCTACATCTTTTTATTGTGCTCTTTTCTAACTGACGTGCTCCTCGGTCCAGCGGAAGCTGGTTCGGGCGTCGTCGCTCGTGAGCTTGCCGATCTCCTTTACTAAAAAGTCCATTCGGTCCTCGTTGAGCTCTCCCTTGCCTTCCCACCCGACGACGTTCATGGCGGCCCTTCGCTTCGAGTGGAGCAGATCGATCTCGTAGCTCTCCAGCCACACCTCAAAGACGTTGTCGTCCGGGGTCGCGTGCTGGTAGATCTTGGTCTCCGTGTAGATGGCGTTGCCAAACTCCTTCTCCATGCGCGTCGTGATCAGCTCGGCGTCGTCCAGGTCGGCCTCGAAGTTCCCGCAGGCGATGATCAGGTGGCCCCGGAAGTTCTTTTGGAAGTCGTCGTCCTGGGCACTGGTGTAGTCTACGGATCTTCCCATCATGTCTCGGTACGCGATGCCCTCCTCGTCGAGCTCGTCGTCTTCTCCGTATTCGTCCTTCCATCCGGCAACGTCTTCCTGGGCTTCGTCCCACGACGGCAGATCGGGGTGCTGGGGCATTTTGAAGTTGTCGGAATAGACATTGTCCTCATCCTTGATGTCCTCGTCGTCAAAGTCTTTCTTGTCCCATTCGCTGTTGTAAACATCCAGCATCCATTTTTCCATGGCCGCCATCTTCACCTCTTGTTCGTCGGCGTCTTCGAAGGCGATCATTCCGGTTTCGGCGGGAGCCTTCTTGGGAATCTCCTCGTAACCGAACCCGTAGTAATACCGCTCCAGCTCTTCCATGTCGGCATTGTTCACATCGTCCCAGGTAAAGTCGAAATCGACATCTCGTGCGTGCTGATAGCGCTCGCAGACCATGAGCTGCGGGTACCAGTGTTGCAGGATGACGGGGGCATCCGGGTTGTGCTTGATGGAGGCCAGGATGAGGTTCGAGACGTTAAAGGCCATGTCGTACTTCAGCCACGGGAAGACGTCGTATCCGGCGGATTCGATTTCGACCGCCGTCTGTTGCATGTCGTAGTGGTATTGCTTTGGATAAGCGGAATAGTTAAAATCGAACTGAGTCGCAGCGACCTTGTTCCATGGCTCTTTTTCGAGCGAGTCGTTGATGTTTTTCCAGGACTGATCGAGAGCCTCCATTTCCTCGTCGGTGATGCCGGTGCCCGCAATGTCCGTTCGGTTGGCACCGACGTAGGGCTCGTCGTCGATCAGGGCTGTGACCCCTTCCAGTTCTTCTTCGATGTCCATGCCGTCCAGTTCGGATGCATCGATGGTGAACTCCTCTTCGCCGGTATCGTTTGGAATGCTGTCGTCGAGCAGGTCGGACAATTCTTCGATGGTCTCCAGCTCGTTTTCGAGTTCGCCTTCGTAGAAGTTCTTGTCAGAGTCGTCGGCACTCGCTTCGGCCGCTGCCTGCCTCTTGGCTGAGTTTTCGACGACGTCCTTCATCAGCTCGTTGTACTCTGGATCGTCCTCGCTTTCTTCGAGGGGAACCATGGTAGCCTCGTCGTCCCAGAAATCCTCGTCGGGCGTGTCGAACCGATCCGCAACCAGTCCCTTCATGCCCCCCGGAAAGAGTTCATTGTTTTCGAAGTCTTCTCTGGATTCGAAGCCGTAGTCTTCCCACCACTTGGAGTATCCCTCCGGCGGTTTCTCGTCCATGCCACCGTCGCCCTTGAGGTAGGACTCGATGTCGTCGTCCTCGGCATCGTAGTCCTCGTCCTCGTCCTCGTTTTCTTCGTCCTCGTCGTAGTCACCGCCTTCCTCCTCGATGTCCTCGTCTTCTTCCTCCTCTTCCTCGTCGATCATGTCGTCTTCGTCTTCGTAATCGATGCCGTCCTCATCGTCCTCGTCCAGACCCGCGACGGAGCTCTCTACGTCGTCCAGGTCCAGCTCGTCGTCTAGATCGCCAATCTCTTCTGCCTCGTTCATAATGTCCTCTTCGTCGGGTTCCCAGCCATCGACGTCGAAGAGGTCGGCGTCCTCCTCGTCGGCATCGTCTCCCTTTGCCGACAGCCGGCAGCTCCCCAGACCAAAGGGTGGTTGGGTCGACCGATCCCTGATCGCCCATGGCGAAAACCGCGTGGATTGCGCTGCCCCCGGCGCTGAAATTCGGTGGGCACGGGAAGCGCCATCAAGGGGAGGTGTTTTTGTGACAAAGGTCCATGCCAAAACCGGCAGGCAAACCGCCAAACAGAAGACGCTCAGAAATCGAAGCATCGTCTCGTTCCTTTGTTGCAAGAATGTGTGCAATCGAGCTTCTGTTCCTCTCTATGCCGCAAAAACTAGCAGACCTAGGGAAAGAAGGGATAGTTCGATGTTGGGTATGGTGCAGCTTGTCGTTGCTGTTAGTTAGCTAGCTATTGCAATACAGGACTTTGTTGTCTCTCTGGATCCGTTGGTACTATATATACTGTGCATAGCAAAGTGTTTGAACTCACTCGCTGGTTTGGATTAGAAGCAGAATCATCAATCAAGAACAGCGGTCTGCTCTCGGCTCCCATTAAGTACGAGTAGTAGTAGCACTGCTGACCGCCACCCATCACGGCAGGACACCGATCCCAAGCGTTTCTGATGGCGGAAGTCGAGTCCACCCATCAACGATCGAACATCGATCGTGTCGCTTCCTAATAAAAACTGGCCGTCGCACGGTTACATGCGTCATCTCTGATACGAAAGTGCCATTGTGGGTATGTACCTCTACTATTCGTATGTACATAGAGTACGTACATACTGGTACGAACTCGTATTCCCCAAACCAAAAACGAAAACTATTTTTCACGAAAACCAAGACTAAGAGTAAGTACGTACCTATGAGTACCGGTACGTACGTACGTACGTAATTGGAGGATAGGTTCCCGATGGGCCTGAAAAGCTTGTTAGCACGAAGTACATTACTAGAGAATGAAGTCCTTGGTGGTGGCAGCGGTGCCACACCCATTCCTCCTGCTCTAGTCATCGAGAGCAACAAGAAGCAAGAAGCTACTAGAAGCATTCCTCTTTTGCTTGTAGCATGTCCATTGTTCCTCCCAGAGCACAGGAATTATTGGCATTGGGTTTCTGCTGTTGGCCCTATCAACTTGCACCTTTCTCCTTGTTCTCTATTGACAGAAAGGAGCACTTTGGAAAGGAAAGCAAAAGGAAATAGAGTACTTGCAGTACTACAAGTAGAAATAAATGAACGGGTCGAGAAGAGGGGTTCTTGTTGCACTCTTGCTTATGCTTGTTATTGTTGTTGTTGTTGCAATGTGAAGCATCTCAAATGGGGGCTGTCTTCTTGTTGAACCAATGAGGCAGCAGGGGAACATTCCTTGTAGTAGTTGTCTAATTAGTAGGAGTTGCGACAGGATAAGACGTTGAAGATTTGCTAGCTGCAACCAACAGCAGAAGAAGAAATAATGCAGGACTGCATCCAATTGATTCCATTGATGAAACGAGTCCCTGACATCATTATGAAGCACTTGTTGAAACAAAATTCACAATTCCATTGTGGCTTGAAATGCTGCATACACTTCCTTTGCATTGAACAGAAATGAGAAAATTTCAGACCATAAAAATTCTTTGAACCGAAACGAGACTGACAAACCGCAGACGGTCTGCCTTTCCTTGTCACACCAGCCATGACATGGCAAAAATATGGACCAAAACCAAAATATGTTGATCTACTAGTAGCTCTTTCTAAAACTAATAGCTTGGTCTGCAACAATGGCCACTATGCTCGAGAGAGCCAAAGTGTCGGTTTTTGATTCATTCGCTCCAACATCAAGTTCTCCATTCACGTCGCCAGTCTACCAAAACGTCGGAAGGACCGCCGATCATTATGGTGCAATCATTTGTGCCCGTAAAAACTGGGAGGCCCATCGTCGAGGTCTATTTCTTTAGCGTCTTTCGGCTTACCACCGAAGTTCATTCCTGGATCGGCACGGCTGTTCCGTTTCGTCCTTTGTTCGGCTCGGAGAAAGGAAACGGCAGAGATGCTCACAGCGACGCAGCAATTGCTACGGTTGAAGCGATTGCTGCAAAGCGATCTCGATCGTCGTGGGGATMGATGGTTGTCGCACCACAACGAATCCGAGCATCAATCGAGCATTGAATCCCGGATGGTGATTCATGCTGGAACTCATTCTGTCGCCGGTCCCTCACAGTGTTCTCCCCTTCGTGCTTCGTCGTCGAAATCCTCCGATCCGGCTTCTAGAAGCTTTGTTTCGCACTCTCAGCGATACGCCGAAACAAAACAGAAAAAGTGCCGCAAGGGCCAACACCAACGACATTGGCAGCGACCCCTCGGCACTTTTGCCGTGGAGGGAACCAAATCCGTGCTTGCCCCCGGTTTCGACCAATTTCCCACCGCTTTGCAGCAGCGAAGAGGGCAGCCGATCGTCGTTGTCGAGGCCGCGATCGCTATGGCGTCTGTCGGCTCTCAGATTGTGTCCCAGACCATTCCGTTGTGGACCGGCACTCTCGCCACGGTCCCGAGAAGCGCGCTGCCGCTTCAACACGCCCACGTTTTCCTTTCGGTGCCATCCGACGTGCTGGCTCCATTCCTCCCTTTCGCCCCGCTCGTCGCGTTCCCCGCGGCCCTCTTTCAAAACCGCCAAGAGGATTTCGTGTTCCATGCGCTCCTCCTCTTCCTCGGCCGCTGTCTTGGGGTCGTTCCCTTCCTTTTTGTGGTCTTTGTCGACCTTGGTTCCATCGATCCCGCGAAGCATGGTTGTCCTGCCTTGGGTGCCAACAGATCGAACGACGCCGGTTGGATCGAATAAAATCCAGTGCAAGAGATGAAAAACAGACTGAAGTTCCGGTATCTGAATGGATTCATCAATCGATAATGCGTTTCGGCAGGACTGCTGAGGTAAAACCGGAGGAGGAGGTACGGCACTGTAGACCGAACGATACGAAACGTCTACGAGTACGAAGTCGCTGTTAAAGTACGTTACGTCGTGCTCGCCTCCGCAGCAGGGGTCGTGAAGTCGTAACGGTATGCGGTACGAACGTACGGTACTACTGTACTTCCATTGAAAATTGAAGCGACAACGAAGAACCCCCCCATATACACGACTGGATGAATCTTTTGAGACGTGGATCTCCTATCTGAAAAAAGATCGCCAAGTTTCATACAGTTCGGTACGTACGCTCAGTACGAAGTGATATGAGAATGACTAGAAATAGGGCAGGCAACAAGCCAACACGTACCGTGAAGTACAGTACAGTACTTACTGTACAGTAAAGTAATACCTACAGTTCTTACCAGAACTAACTCCATCATCATCGTTCAATCTTCCGCAAGAATAGCGGAATTTTAAAACCAAAATCGCTTTGCTTCTATCATTTCCCACCGAATAACCATCATCAATCTACAGTATTGAGGATGAGTTGTTTTCTGTTTTCTCTATCTAAGGGGGTTCGCAAGTACAATATGTGTTGAGACTTTGGATTTGTACGATGGTTCGACTACGATTTGAAGAAGTAGAGAAACACGATTAACACACCACACCGTACAGCGCAGCCCAGCAACGCATTCCGACGAAACCGTCGCGTTATCGTCTCCTTAAGAGAGAGGTGTGTTTCGTTCGTGGGAGCTTATTCAACGAGTACGGGAAAGTCCACTCCGGAGATATTTGTTTTTGAAACGATTGCAGAAAACAATTCTGCTCTTTTCGACATAGGTGCTGACACGTTTGATGCGATGACACAACAGTGATATAAACATTATTTCCACGACAACCTTGTATTCCGCAAACACATACCATTTCAATCATGGGCCTCACGCAAACCAAGCTGCACCACAGAGTCCTGCAGCAAAACTGGTCCGCGATACGCCGACGGCTGCAAACCAGTGACGGCCAGCGCTGGGTAAAAACGAAAAACCCCTGCGGTGACCTGCCTCTTCACCTGGCCTGCTATGGCGGCCAAACTCCGCCCTTTGTAGTGAGAGCCCTCCTCCAGGCGTACCCCGAGGGCGCCCACGTGAGAAATGACGGTGGATTCACGCCCCTTCAGTTGGCGAGGGTCAACTACCGTACGGATCATCCCTTTCGAGAGGAAGTCCTGGAATTTCTGGAGGTGTACACAAATGGCAACGCCAATACTCCAGAGGAACAAGAGGAAGATCTGATTAGCCTATCTCAATACGACGACGCCAAACCCATTGTGTCTTACCAGACTTCCGCGACGTGTGTCATATGCTTGGAAAACGAGGCAGATCACGTGGTTATTCCGTGTGGCCACCAGTGCCTCTGTGGAGACTGTGCGAAGAAGGTCCTTGCCGTTGGCAGAAGTGGCAACAGCAACAGCAACAATAACAATGGCAACGACCACCATGAAACCACTATAACGAAGCAACGATTTTGCCCGGTCGGCCGATGCAAAATTGCGGCGATTGTGAAAGTGTCGGCTCCTCCCGCCTGCGTCGAAGCATCGGCCCCTCCTCTCTGTGTGGAAGCATCGGCTCCTCCTCTCTGTGCGAGCGAGTGAGTCAAGGGCCGAACGAACCAGAGGGCTAGACCAAAGAGAATTCAGTTGCCATCGAATAATATTGGTAGCACAGTTCAACAGGGAAATAATTTTATAACAACACCAAAGTACTCAAGCTGTTATCAATGCTTTGACTCTAGTCGCACTGTAACGGTATAGGTTGGCAAGTATTGCACCTACTACGCTTGAAACTGAGCCATGAGACAATCGGTTGCGGAACAAAGCCAAAGACAGGTATTTGTCACCCGCATTCTCGGCACTGAGGCTCTCAATATTACCACACGAAATACTGTCTCACTCCACAGAATGGGAATGGTATATTCTCGACAAACCATCGCATTAGTGCACTGATAGATACGCTGCACAGGCATTAATGCTTTGCGAGACCGATCGAAGGAGTAGTGCTTTGCGTTGCCTGCCGACAATATCAGTATACTTTGTTTGACGGTTGATGAATTTAGTGTTTTTTCTCTGATCCAACCCGAATAGAACTTTCGAAGCAATTCGCGAATAGACATAGGCGATCCTAAGTTGACTCCATTTCGTGCCAAGAGAGTCTCGCATTGATCATTATCCCATAATGCTATTTCTATACCCCTATTGCACCCACGCGGTACATGCTCTCGATGTTGTCAGGAATTGGATGTTGATTAAACGCTACTTTTACATTTTGCCCTAGCAAGAGTTTCTCTTATCAGCCCCGTGGTCGGTGAAATACCGCATCCGACGCGATTCATTCCGATGAGTAATCTAAAAGGCATCTGGGATGTCCGTGCAGCATTCACACGATACATTGTCGTCGACAGACAAAACCTTTAATTCTTCACTTTCTCGCAAGGCGCATATTTGGGGCGGCATCGTGGTCTCACCAAACTGATTCGATTCCAGACGCAGGTCGATAAGGCCGATCAGCTCTCCGAGCTCTGGGGGGATGTCACCCAACAACGTGTTGTGCTGAACGTGCAGACGCTCCAGACGAAAGCATCTTCCCAATTCCGAAGGAATAGGCCCGGAGAACTGATTGTGGCTCAGTGTCAGGTCGGTGATATCATCCAATTTCCCCAAAAGCGTAGGAATCGTGCCCTCGAATCGATTGTGGTCCAACGAAATAATTATGATATCAGTCAAGAGGCCTAGTCCCGCTGGAATCTCACCGTCGAGTTGGTTGAAACCAAGATTTAAGGTTCCTGCAGCACGTCAGCCGGAGATCAAGGAAAAGAGGCAAGCAAAATCCATTAAATAAGGTCGCTCTGATTCAAAACAAGCATGCCTGGAAACAGCATGAAATAGTGCATAGCAGCGGAAGCATCTAGTACAACTTACTCAATGTTTGTAAGTGTGTCAACGTGAGCGGGATTGACCCTTCAAACATATTGTTGTTCATTACGAGCTCGTGTAACCTGAAAAGGTGATCAAACATATTCGGAATACTACCCGTAAACGAGTTTTTGTTAATGTGCAACGTCTCAAGGTTTTGCAACGAAGCCAAGAGACCAATGTTTCCCTCAAACTTGTTTTTTCCTATCCTTAAATCCACTGCAACGACGGGGGGGAGTACAAAATTTGAAGAATGACGCGTAAGTTTTGATCGTACGGAAAGAAAACACAAAACAAAGCAGGATAAACAATCTTATTTTACTTACACAGACCCGTCAGTCTCCCAAGCCATTCGGGTAGAGTGCCTTCGAAGTTGTTATCGTGCAGAAACAAACCCTTCATACGAGTCATCCTTGAAAGATCTGGAAACGGCCCGGTAATCTTGTTTCGTTCGAGAGAAAGATACCTCAGCTTGGTGAGTTTAGACAACCAAGAGTTAGGAATTGGACCCTCAAAGTGGTTTTTCCCCAAATGCAACTGGTGAATTTCGGTCAATTCACCGTACTCCGCAGGCAGAGTGCCCAAAAGGGCGTTCCCTCCGATCAAAAGATCCTTCAATTTGGAGAGGCTCCCCAGTGCCGACGGCAGCGTGTGGCTCAATTTGTTGTCGTCGAAATTCAGAATCTCGAGCTCCATCAAGCCTGAGAGTTCGGCGGGAATCGTACCCTCCACGTTGTTGTCCTCAAGGCGAATGCCCTTCACTTGCGAGTCGGCATCGTAGGTTTTTGTAAAAGGTGTGAACTTGTTTTCGGCCGTCGCTTCTTGTTCCCTGATACCGCATTCCACTCCGTGCCAGGAACAAATACCCTTCCCAGTCATCCAGTTGTCAGAATTTTTCCATCCCCCTACGAGCGTTGTCTTGTTGGCATTGCCACTACTGTAATAAAAGACAGCTAGCCCATAACGATCGAGTAAGGCCGGGTGATCATCTTTGAGGTTTGCAGGGTCCTCGAGGACCAACCAATCTAGTGCCAACTTTTGTGGAGACTTAGATCCCCCATCGAAGAGTCCTTCGGAGGTCACACCAGCATCAACAATCCGCGATCGAATCATACCGTAACGCTCGTGGTTAGCGTCTTTGTTACTGCTGCCGCTGCCGCTTTTGTTGTCGGCTTTTGTCACTGAGTCTGTCTTTTCTCTACCCTTAGTGTTAACTGTCAATACCAGAGTGTATACGACGAGAAATATACCAGTGAGTGACACCAGAAGTGTCAAGGTGTACATAGAACACAGAGCTTTTCGACACTTTCTCCACATGGCAGTCCCTCGACGCCGTTTGTCGTTATCGATGTATTCCTCAGCATCTGCCATGGGGGCTGCATCTCCGTATTCGTCGAAGCGATTCAGGATCTCAGTTTCCACCGAGCTCCGAAACATCCCGGCAATCGAGGAAGAACGAGCCGGGAGGGAAACAGAGGAGGCGGAGTCGCCTATTCCAATGTCCATGAGATTGACGGATTGGTCAACGATGTAATCCCGAGTCGAAAATCCGGCGCTGCGCTGAGTGTTGCGGGATCGAGAACTATGTGCAGAAAAGGAGTCTTCGTCCTGATCGCCGTACAAAAACCTCCGAGAGCCGTTGGGGTTCCTTCTGATGTTATTTGAAGACATGATGAGGTTGTGCTCTGCTCTGATGTTGATAGTAGTGCTTTTTTTTGCTGATTATTGACGTTCTTTTCGTCGCCGCCGTTGTGCTCTTTCACGAGAATCAACTGTCGTTGTCGAAGATTTTACTGCCTATAGATTAGAGATAATGGGACCGATAATACCATAGACGAAGCCAGAAGAAAGTCTTTATAAGGCCTTTTCTTCAGTGAGTAGATCGAACTTCTTTGTTACAACACTTTCATTCGGAAAGTAGAAGTACATCCGGACCACACTATGGTACCGGTACTCGTACACAACGTAATGCCCCTACTAGAACGATTACGATTACGACTATGTTATTCGGTACTGGCCTAGTACAGTATGGGTTTGTGTATTTTATCGGTTCGTACGGTAGAATAAGCATTAGAAAAACTAAAAACTAGTATTTCGATTGATACAGAGAATGATCTATTCGTGCCGCACGGATGACTAAAAATGAAGAAGGACATTATCCATGACCATATCAAACTACCGGTACTAAGATAGTACTATCGTCTTTATCTTTTATATATAGAGTTAGGGCTAAAAATCAAAATCAAAAATCAATGCTGAAGAAAGTAGCGCAGGGCATGCATGATCCAACGGGCAATCCAACCGGCTGCGGCAATAACACGATTCGACCAACGACGAGCAACAATGGGAAAAATAATTGTAACCGGTGAAAGCAGCAAAGCAGCAATATCACCAGACAACGAACGAGTACGAACCGACTGGTACACTACTTCTATTAATTAACTACATCGAAAACAAATAAGAATGGCAGAATATGGTCAACCCGATTGGGTCAACTCTGGGAATAATTCCGCTCCGGCTGTATCAGATGCAAACGTCGATCCGAGTGTCACAGCACCGTCCGCAAATGCCGGGTAAGTACATCCCTCGTTGCTGTTATCCCGCAAATCAGCCTGTCCTTGTTTTATCCTCCCTTATTCTTCATGCTATGTTTTACTCTGAATTATCTCATCGCAACTTACCTTGTGCATGTTCTGTCTCTCCCTCTGCTCTCGATTCTACTGCAATCATGGCGATGGTCGGAATCGTTGGTTTTCTTTGAATTTCTGAACACGATAGTGCCGAGGGAGGCTCGGGAGGAAAAGGCAATTGCCTTTTGGGCTTGCTCAGTCTCTTGAACATGGGACTGGCTGCTATGATGACAGCATTGGGAGTCCTTACGATCATCGAGGTACACAAGACCGGGATTGGTGATCTCAGCGAACCATTTTTGGCCTTTTACATGATTCTGTTTGCTGCCTTGTTGTTCTTGTACGAACTGATGTGGTGGTCCCCCATGAAAAAGCTCAACAAGGACATGCGCAAGAACTTTGGCTTTATGTACGGTCTTCGCGGAAAGGGACTCTATCTGATTTTTGTCGCCTTTTTGTGCTTTGGATTGGGAAAAGACGCCAAGGTCATGATATTGAATTATTGCACAGGTGCTGCATTTTTGGCTGGTGGAATCTTGCACATGTTTATTATCTTCTTCAGACCTGATACGGCCATGGAATACCAGGCGCCAACTGCGGGTATCGGGACTGATTTATCGGAAAATGTGGTGTAATGGCATCTGACAACGACGGGACGGGCATGCTTATGGCAATCGAGTCGAACGAACAGATCCCAGAGCAGTCATTCATTCAAAGTCAAAGAAGCTTCTTAGGCTTGGTTCCGTAAAAAACACAACATACGTAGAAGTGATAATTGTAGAGACTTATCAACTCGCTCCTGCCTCTTCGTAGATTGCAATGAAGCGAGATAGTAAGTAAAATAACTGGTAATCGACAATTTATTTATTACTACTAGTATCTTTGTGGTTAATCTCTCCCACTTCCTGTAAACGAGAAGGAATAAGGGAGAGACAACAGATGCGTCGATTGGTTGTTGATGGCGTAGTAGAATCCGTAGAAGTGATCCCGCGAAGAAAATTCAATTTGAAAGATGAAATGGGTTTGGCAACAACCACGAACCCCAGGAATCTCTGTGTGTCTTCCTGTCGCATGTCGCAATACACCCACAAACACAAACACAGCACAGGGAATACTCACCTTTTCTAATGTGTTTGGTCCTCTACTAAGGATCTTTCCTGACATCAATTTCAATCCAAATCCCATTGCTTCTTGTTGTTTCTTGGTCCTTTTTCTTGTTTGCTATGAAACTACTGTTGCTAGTAGTACTAATAGTTGCTTATACGTCACACAAACCGATATAATGGTGTTTTAAGTTTCCCGCGTGCACGAAAACAAATTCCCGCGCGTGTTTTTCTATGCTCAAATTAGAATCTCACG